TTTTAGAGGCAAGATTGTTATATGAAAAATAATTTATAACATTAAATTACTCTTAGGGAATAGTTTAAAGGCAAAAATGCATCTTAACTTCCACCTAGCAAGACATATTGATATGTTCGATTAAACTTTAGTCCCCCTTTAATATTTTAACGATCAATATTAGAGAATTTAATATTAGAAAAAATATGCTATTTTTTAATTTTTTAGGGATGAAAAATGTTAAGATAAATACTTTAAGAGATTGGATGTTCTTAAAAGAATAGTTCAATAACAAAAATATAACTCAATTCAAGAAAAAAAAAATACAAGTCATGTGGATATAGAACCATTTAAGTACCTTAGTAGTCACAATTTTTTAAGCCATTCCAAAAGAATAGTTTATAATTTGTTTAAATTTTATTTTTCTCTGGTCTCTCTCTTTTTTTCATCAACGATGTAGATTTTTGTTTTTATTTTCAATGAGCATGAAAGTTAGGAAAGATTACTTTGGGATGGTATAGATGAAATAAGGATTGAATATGGAGGCTCTATTTAAATAAGAATTTAAACTTTATACAAATTAATTTTTTTAAAAGTAATCTAGTTTAAAGACCTGACCTTGATAAGTCTTGTAAAAAATGACTTGGGCTCGAGCGGCCCTTTAAACCCTAATAAGCTCAATTATCTTATATACATGCGCGCACACACATATTTGATTGATAATGATATAATTTAATTAATATTTATTATAGGTGATGAAAAAGAAGTTGCAAAGATAATTAACATTGAATCTCCACCTCCATCTTCTACAATGAAACTTACATTTGAGAGATCTAATATTTTATTTTTTTAATAATGATGGGGAGGATTTAGATTTACATTGATGAAGATTTTAATTTTATCTTAAATTAAAATTTTAAATCTCTGTCAAATTTTATGTTAAATTTTATGTGAGATTTGATTTATTTATGTTGAATTTTAAAATATCCTATGTAAATTAAAATGTTAAAATTTTTTCCCAAACAGAGGACTTAAGGGCCCAGGCCTAAGCCTTTTAAATAAAAAGTCGGGTCTTAAAATTAGATCAAATTTTCAATAATCAAGCTTTAAGATTCACCCTGATTCCTACATCTAAGTATAGTATAACTTTTATTTATATTCAAATATATTATTCTTTTTAATTTTTATGTAATACTCCCTTTAGATAAAAAAATTCAACATATAGAACATTCATAACTAATTATAATTTTTTAAAAATATTAATTAAATATCCTATATAAATGTTTTGATAATTATAAGTAAAATTTTAATACCAATTTTTTAAAAAATTAATAAATAGGAAAAAAATTATAAAAATTATCAATGATTTATAATTTAAATCAAATAAAACTTTTAAAAGATGCTTTATAGTGTAGATGGAGTACTCCTCCCTTCCGTTGCTTTTTTTAAGACTTTGTAATTAATTAATATTATTTGTAGTTAATTAATGTATTAGTACTAAGTCCCTGAATGTAGTTAAGAGTCTGGTCAGGATAATAAAGAGGGAGATTAACTTACAAGGGGTGAACGCCCAGACGAGGAATCTCCAACGTCTCTCAATTCAGATGCCAAGACAAACCACTTTGATACTTGAGCTCTCATCATCATCATCAACATCATCATGATGGACAATAATCATTTAATTATATACTCTCTTCATTTCTATATATAAAATATTGTTTAATTAAATTATATAAATTAATAAAAATTAATTATTTAATTAAAAGTACAATAACATTTTAATTTTATCTCTAATTATTATAAATAAAAAATAAATCTTTTTAAAATAAATTAATAAAAGTACTCTTTCTAATTTAATAAAGATATAATGGTCCATTCATTAAGAAAATGCTAACAAACCCTTATATTTAGGGGTAAAAAAAATATTTTAAAAAACTTTTTATATATAGAGACAGAAGGAGTAATTTTAACTCAATTGAAACTTTATTTTTTAAACTTTAACTCGTTATGACTCAATTATTATAGTTTTGACTCAATTTTAACTTTATCCTTAAGCTTTGACTTTTACAACTCAACTTATATAATAATTAGTCCTTGTATTTATAGTCTATATAAATATTAAAGTGTTTAGCACATTAAAATTTTGTACTAAATTTAAACATAATTTTATTCTTTATAATTTTATATTTAAAATAAAGGGACAAATATTTAAATAGTTAAAACCATAAAAATTAAGTTACAAGAGTCAAAATAATTGAGTTATAATCAAGTCAAAACTATAAAGATTAAATTATAATAAATTAAAGTTAACAAGTTAAGTTTAATTGAATCAAAATTATAAGGACTAAATCATTAAATTTTTCTTACTATTACTCCTCCCTATCCATCTATCCTAAATTATAAGAATTTTTTTTAAATAACTTTTCAAATACAAAACTTTGACAAAAATAATTTTTCAATATTAATACTTTTCAATGCTATCCTTCATATGTATTCTTTTTTCTTAACATTTTTTAATGAATGGAGTATTAAATGAACTGTATTTTTTTAAAATTATATCTTTTTTTAAATAAAAAGGTAAACTATATTTAATAAACTTTATTTAATATTATAATTTTCTCTAAGAGTGTCTTGGAAACCAGGATGGGGAGTCCTTGCTGTTGTTGTTCTAAATGTATAGTGAAACTTTTAATATTCAAGATTATTATCTCATTGTAACATCCCAATTTAAATTTTAATAGTTAATTTGGGTTAATAAAAATTTTGAAAGTATTATTAAATTATTATAAAAAAAGGTATGAAAAAAAATAAAAAAATAAAAAAATAATAATAATAAATAAAAAATAAATTATATTAAATTATTATTATTATAATAATAAAAAGAAAGAAAGGAAAAGAAAGGAAGAAGAAGAAGAAAACGAATTTGCTTCGTCCGCCGCCTCAACAGTAACAATAATAAAATAATAATAAAAAGAAAAGAAGAAGAAGAGAGAGAAAATAATTAAAAAAAATGTGGGACCCACTGAATTTTTATAAAAACTCACCTGTTCCTTCATTTCTTCATTCCTTCTTTCGTGCGTGAGCTTCGGCAGAGAGAGCATCTGTGAGCCAAATTCACCGGTGCTGGGTTTTAAGGTAAGAGTTTTTAATAGGATATTTAGGGTGTGATTTTAAGCTTTTCAAGACTAAGTAAGTGTTCTAAAAATTTTTCTTAGTCATCCTTCTTCTTTAGTTTCTGAGTTTGTAGTGGTAGAAAATTTAAGATCTGAAAGAGGGATGAATTTATGTTGAATAAATATGGTTTTTGAGGTTGTCAGTAGTATAATAAATGTTATAGAGTATAAATTTGTTAATGATCTTTGAATTTATGGCTTATGGATCAAATTCTAAACTAGATCTGAAAATATATGTTGATTTATTGAGGTTTAGATGATTATTTGGGATGAGAAATGAATTATTATGGTTATAGGATTATGATTCTAAGCTAGAGACTTAATTTTTAATTTTTGGGTATTTTAGGTACGAATTTATAAAATAAAAAGAAAATTTTGATAATAGAAATTAGTTTAAAATTTGATTTTTAGATTATTAATGTTTATTGATAATTAAAAGAGGAGTTAAAAATTATACTTAATAGTATTAACTATAGATTTGTATTAAGATTGAGATTAGGAATTATGTTATATTTTTAATTCTATTATTAGAATTATTTTATTAGTTTCAAAAATTGAAACTAATATTTATAAATAATATGTTATTTGTAGATTGTATTACTGGTGAAGATTGTGGTGAGAGAGAAATTTTAAGGAATAATTTATTGAAAAAGCCACAAGGTAACCATGCTTTTAATTTGTGATTAGTGTTACTTCATGTTAATTGGGTGATTATTGAGAAAATTATAAATTTTGTAATATTGTATAATTGTGCAATATTATTATGAATTTGTTTGATTATTGTGGGAGGTGTTGGGAGACTTGCTATTGTTGTTGTATTTATGTGCCACGTGGTACGCCCCTATTGGAGCTCAATAGGTGGTTTGTAAGGGCTCGGGCTAATCTACCTTTGGCCGGGTAATTTAGTACCGAGTGAGGGCTACGGCTCGAGGTTAATGGAGGGATATAAGGATGGTTGTTTGTGTTTATAATATTTCTTATATTTGTTGGAATTATATTATTTTTAATTCTCACTTAGTAAGCACACACTTAACTGTTTGTATACACTATCATAAATTGGCTTTGGTTACTGGGACTTTTGAGTCTCATTATGTGGTTAACAATTTTCAGGAGAAGAGCCACGAGTGACACGTGGAGGAGTCCCAGAGGCTTAGTGGTATAGATCCACTGTCTCTTTTGGGTATTTAATTTATGATTTATAATGTGTTATATTGCCAATATTAGGGCTTTTTGTTTATTGTCAATTATATGAATATATAAATGTAATCATGCCTTTCAAACTATTTCTATTTTTGGTACAATTTGGATGACTGTAATTTTAATATTTGGTTTACTTTGGATTGGTTAAAATGGCATGATTATAAGGTCAAATAACTGGCTTGTGTTGAAAATTGATTAAATTGCTTATTTTACTTGTTGGGAGTATAAGGATGGACAAATGTGATTTAGTTTACTTGTTGGGAGTATAAGGATGGACAAATGTGATTTAGCCTAATGGCATGTGGGAGGTAAAAATTTATCTGAAATGTTATAGTGTGTGAGTTGAAGCCAATTATAAAATATTTTATATTGAAATTATTGATATAAAAATGTGTTGGGTGGCTGTAACCCAACTATGGTTGAGTTAAATTATTTAAAAAAAAAAATTTTGGTGTGTTACAAATTTTGGTATCAGAGCTACATGTTTCAAATTCTTATAAATTATGAAATTGTTATACATTAACCTAGTTTATTGGCAATATACATTAGTAAATCATAATACTTCTCCATTATTTTTCTTGTCTTGAGATTAGTGTTAATTAATTATGTGACTTCCATCCTTTAGGAGGGGAGAGATGGTGTCCAAAACTAGGAGAGGTGGCGAAATTGTCGGTGATTCTATAGAGCCAATAGGAAATGACATACCTTCACTGCCACAACCGGAGCCCACACAGCAACAAATTGGGCAGGGCGAGCCCATACAGTCACAACTAAGGCAGGATGAGCCAACCATGAGGCAAATGATGGATCTACTATATAATCTTAGTGACCGCATGAAGAGACAAGAAGAAGAATTGGCCGCTTTAAGACAATATAAGGAGAATGACAACCGAGAGGGAAATGGCCAACAAGAAGGAAGCCATACCAAGGTATTCAATGCGAGCCAATCTGCTGATGAAGGCTTACCTCCTTATTCTCACCATGAGACTAGTCCGAAGAATGTGAGTCTCCACTCTGAGCAACAGACATCCACGATCACAAAGATCTGGAGTACTTTTCGTAAGTTTAATCCTCCTACTTTCGATGGAAATCTTAAGCCGGCGGTGGTTGAAGAATGGATAGATCAATTGGAGAGTATTTTTCGTATGGTTGTGTGCACTTCTAATCAAAAGGTGCAGCTGGCAATATTCCTACTACAGAAGAGTGCTAAGAAATGGTGGGAAACATCAGGACCGAAGGATGATTCCTCTCTTACTTGGGAAGATTTTAAAGCCATATTGTTCGAGAATTATTTTCCTACTGCACTGAGAGCAGAAAAGGAGGCTGAGTTTCATGCATTCCGCCAGGGTGATTTAGATGAGGATGAATTTATTGAACAATTCTCAGAATTATCTAAATACTCTACTTACCTCCAGAAACATGAAGACACGGAGTGGATGGCTGAACGATTACTAGAGAAGGCGAGGCCTGATCTAAGGGAACAGTTAGCCCCTTTTGAGATCAAGACATTCAGTGAGATGTGCAATAAGCTTCGAATAGTTTCTCGGAGGAAGAGAGAGGCTAGATTAGAAGCTGATAGAGAGAGGAGGAAAGAACCTCATGGGAAGCCCCCTATCCACACCAGACCCATTGGTGGAGTAGAGAAGAGGAGCAGTCAAATCTTTGGAGGTTTTAGAAATCAGAAGAAGAAGGGCTACTATCATAAGGGCCAGAGCTACAGAGGGAATCAGAGTGGAAGTCAAGGGTCCTATAGGAGCCCAGCTACCTTTAATCCTACTCCTAGTGCTGCTAGTAATCAAGCATGCAGTAAGTGTGGGAAGTTTCATTCTGGTGATTGTTGGGTTTGTTACATCTGTCAGAAGCCTGGTCATATTGCTAGATTCTGCTATCAAAACCAAAATAGGGGTAATGATCAGAGACCTACAGTACCAGCACGAGTGTATGCCCTCTCTGGGCCAGAGGCTGCTAACAACCCTAATGCTATCCGAGGTATAATCCGAATCCTTGATAATGATGTTTGTGCTTTGTTTGATTCGGGTGCTACACACTCTTTTGTGTCTGATGAATGTATGAAAAGATGTAAATTGCCTGTGTGTACCTTACCTTTTGATGTGAAGATTTCTACTCCTGCTGGTTTGACTGTAAGGACTGCTAAGGCATGTCTAAATGTAGAGGTTGAGTATGAGGGTCGAAAGACCACCATAGACCTCATTTGTTTGTCTTTGTCTGGGATTGATGTTATTGTGGGGATGGATTGGTTGTCTGCAAATGGAGCTGTACTTAATTGTCAGAAAAAGAGTGTGTCACTCTCAGCTTCTTACTGTAACCCCTGTAGAGTCCCAAAGTCCTATGTTGTTGTCTGCAGCTCAAGTAGAACAGTGTATAAGAAAGGGCTGTCAAGCTTTTATGATTTTCTTCTCAATCAAGGCAGAGATTGAAGAAGGTGTAGATCAGATTCCAGTAGTGAGAGAATTCCCTGACGTCTTTCCTACTGAAGTGATCGGTTTGCCTCCAGAACGAGAGGTTGAGTTCTCGATTGAACTCGTACCTGGTACGGGGCCTATTTCTAAGGCACCCTATAGGATGTCTCCATCGGAGTTAGCTGAGTTGAAGAGACAAATTGAAGAGTTGTTAGAGAAGGGGTTTATCAGACCGAGTGTATCACCATGGGGGTCACCGGTACTGTTTGTGAAAAAGAAAGATGGAAGCCTTAGATTGTGTATTGATTATAGACAATTGAATAAGGTAACCATCAAGAATAAGTACCCCTTACCTCGAATTGATGATTTGTTAGACCAATTAGTCAATTCAGCGGTGTTTTCTAAGATTGATCTAAGATCAGGGTATCATCAATTGAGGGTTAGAGCAGAGGATATCCCTAAAACTGCTTTTAGGACTAGATATGGGCACTATGAGTTCCTAGTGATGCCGTTTGGGTTAACAAATGCCCCAGCTGTCTTCATGGATTATATGAATCGAATCTTCAGGCCTTATCTCGATGAATTTGTTGTAGTCTTTATTGATGACATACTTATTTATTCTCGAGATGAGGTGGACCATGCTAGACATCTTAAAATTGTTTTGGAGATATTAAGAGAGCACAAGCTCTATGCCAAGTTGAGCAAATGTGATTTTTGGCTTAAAGAAGTTAAATTCTTAGGCCATGTTGTTTCAGAAGAAGGGGTAGCAGTGGACCCTAGTAAGATAGATGCAGTGATGAAATGGGAACAACCTCGAAGTGTGACAGAGATTAGGAGTTTCTTGGGTCTTGCAGGCTACTATCGTCGTTTCATTAAGGGTTTTTCACAAATTGCAATGCCCTTGACTAAGTTGACCAGGAAAGATGCTCCATTTATTTGGACGAACGAGTGTGAAATTGCATTCCAGGAGCTGAAAAAGAGGTTGACCACCACACCGGTGCTCACCTTACCTGTTCCAACTGCTCCTTATACCTTGTATACTGATGCTTCTAAGAAAGGTTTAGGTTGTGTATTGATGCAGGAGGATCGAGTAGTGGCTTATGCCTCTCGACAGTTGAGACCTCATGAGGAAAATTACCCTACTCATGACTTGGAGCTTGCTGCTGTGGTATTTGCCTTGAAGATTTGGAGGCACTATCTTTATGGTTCTTCTTTTGAAGTCTTCAGTGATCATAAAAGTTTAAAATATTTGTTTGATCAAAAGGAGCTCAACATGAGACAGCGCAGATGGATTGAGTTTTTGAAGGATTATGACTTTGAGTTGAAGTATCATCCAGGGAAAGCTAACGTAGTCGCCGACGCTCTGAGCAGGAAGCTTGTACATACTGCTCACATGATGGTCAGAGAACATGAATTATGGAGTAGTTTTCATGCAGTAAATGTAGAAGTAGTCGAAAATCGTTTGGCTGCTCTACATATTACTGAATTTGAGAATAATTTTTGGGAAGAAATCAGAATTTCGCAGCAGAAGGATGATTATTTGAATAAGATTAGGGTAGAGATTGGGGCTGGAAAGGCTGAACATTTTGATGTGACCGATGATGATGTCGTAAGATATAAAGGTAGAGTGTGTGTGCCTAATGATACTCGATTGAAAAATATCTTACTTGAGGAGGCTCATCAGAGTAAATATACCATTCACCCAGGAGCAACTAAGATGTATCATGACTTAAGACGTGGTTGGTGGTGGCCAAGGATGAAGAGAGATGTAACTGAACATGTAACTCGTTGTTTGACTTGTCAGAAAGTCAAAATTGAGCATCAGAAACCAGCCGGGATGCTACAGTCTCTTGATATTCCAGAGTGGAAATGGGACAGCATTTCTATGGACTTCATTACAGGATTGCCTAGAACATCTTCTGGTCATGACACTATATGGGTAATCGTAGATCGACTCACCAAATCAGCTCATTTTCTTGCTACTAATATCAAGTATTCTCTCGAAAAATTAACTGAAATCTACATAAGAGAAGTGGTGAGATTGCATGGAGTGCCGACAAATATTGTATCTGATCGTGATCCGAGATTCACATCAAACTTTTGGAAGTCATTACAGGAAGCCATGGGTACTCGTCTGAGTTTTAGCACCGCTTACCACCCCCAGACCGATGGGCAAACGGAACGAACCATACAAACTCTTGAAGACATGTTAAGAGCGTGTGCCATTGAGCTTAGAGGTAATTGGGATAGTCACTTACCATTAGCTGAATTTGCCTACAATAATAGTTTTCATTCTAGCATTCAGATGGCACCTTATGAGGCATTGTATGGAAGAAAATGTAGATCGCCACTGTGTTGGACAGAATTAAGTGAGAGAACTGTTTTGGGGCCAGACATTGTTGATGAGACTACCCAAAAGATTGCTTTAATCAAGCAAAAATTACTCACAGCTCAAAGTAGACAAAAGAGTTATGCGGATAAGAGGAGAAGACCGCTTGAGTTTGAAGTAGGTGACCATGTATTTTTAAAATCTCTCCGGTAACTGGTGTTGGAAGAGCTATTAAGGCTAAGAAGTTGACACCAAGGTTTATGGGGCCTTTTGAGATCTTAAAACGAGTTGGACCAGTAGCGTACCAAGTAGCATTACCACCCCAAATTGCTGGAATACACAACGTATTCCATGTGTCACAACTGAAAAAGTATCAACCAGATCCTTCCCATATAATTGAACCCGAGGAAATTGAACTCAGGGAGAATTTGACATTCAGAGCTGAACCAGAAAGGATTGTGGATTATAAGGACAAGCAATTAAGAAACAAGACCATTAGATTGGTTAAAGTAATCTGGAAGAGCACAACTCCAGGTGATGCTACGTGGGAGACCGAGGACAGTATGCGACGTGATTATCCTCGTCTTTTTGATTAAGTGAGTAGTTAATAGTTATTAATTTTAAATTTTGAGGACAAAATTTCTAAAAGGAGGGGAGAATTGTAACATCCCAATTTAAATTTTAATAGTTAATTTGGGTTAATAAAAATTTTGAAAAGTATTATTAAATTATTATTATAAAAAAAAGGTATGAAAAAAAATAAAAAATTAAAAAAATAATAATAATAAATAAAAAATAAAATATTATTAAATTATTATTATAATAATAAAAAGAAAGAAAGGAAAAGAAAGGAAAGAAGAAGAAGAAAACGAATTTGCTTCGTCCGCCGCCTCAACAGTAACAATAATAAAATAATAATAAAAAGAAAAGAAGAAGAGAGAGAGAAAATAATTAAAAAAAATGTGGGACCCACTGAATTTTTATAAAAACTCACCTGTTCCTTCATTTCTTCATTCCTTCTTTCGTGCGTGAGCTTCGGCAGAGAGAGCATCTGTGAGCCAAATTCACCGGTGCTGGGTTTTAAGGTAAGAGTTTTTAATAGGATATTTAGGGTGTGATTTTAAGCTTTTCAAGACTAAGTAAGTGTTCTAAAAATTTTTCTTAGTCATCCTTCTTCTTTAGTTTCTGAGTTTGTAGTGGTAGAAAATTTAAGATCTGAAAGAGGGATGAATTTATGTTGAATAAATATGGTTTTTGAGGTTGTCAGTAGTATAATAAATGTTCTAGAGTATAAATTTGTTAATGATCTTTGAATTTATGGCTTATGGATCAAATTCTAAACTAGATCTGAAAATATATGTTGATTTATTGAGGTTTAGATGATTATTTGGGATGAGAAATGAATTATTATGGTTATAGGATTATGATTCTAAGCTAGAGACTTAATTTTTAATTTTTGGGTATTTTAGGTACGAATTTATAAAATAAAAAGAAAATTTTGATAATAGAAATTAGTTTAAAATTTGATTTTTAGATTATTAATGTTTATTGATAATTAAAAGAGGAGTTAAAAATTATACTTAATAGTATTAACTATAGATTTGTATTAAGATTGAGATTAGGAATTATGTTATATTTTTAATTCTATTATTAGAATTATTTTATTAGTTTCAAAAATTGAAACTAATATTTATAAATAATATGTTATTTGTAGATTGTATTACTGGTGAAGATTGTGGTGAGAGAGAAATTTTAAGGAATAATTTATTGAAAAAGCCACAAGGTAACCATGCTTTTAATTTATGATTGTGTTACTTCATGTTAATTGGGTGATTATTGAGAAAATTTAAATTTTGTAATATTGTATAATTGTGCAATATTATTATGAATTTGTTTGATTATTGTGGGAGGTGTTGGGAGACTTGCTATTGTTGTTGTATTTATGTGCCACGTGGTACGCCCCTATTGGAGCTCAATAGGTGGTTTGTAAGGGCTCGGGCTAATCTACCTTTGGCCGGGTAATTTAGTACCGAGTGAGGGCTACGGCTCGAGGTTAATGGAGGGATATAAGGATGGTTGTTTGTGTTTATTATAATATTTCTTATATTTGTTGGAATTATATTATTTTTAATTCTCACTTAGTAAGCACACACTTAACTGTTTGTATACACTATCATAAATTGGCTTTGGTTACTGGGACTTTTGAGTCTCATTATGTGGTTAACAATTTTCAGGAGAAGAGCCAAGAGTGACACGTGGAGGAGTCCCAGAGGCTTAGTGGTATAGATCCACTGTCTCTTTTGGGTATTTAATTTATGATTTATAATGTGTTATATTGCCAATATTAGGGCTTTTTGTTTATTGTCAATTATATGAATATATAAATGTAATCATGCCTTTCAAACTATTTCTATTTTTGGTACAATTTGGATGACTGTAATTTTAATATTTGGTTTACTTTGGATTGGTTAAAATGGCATGATTATAAGGTCAAATAACTGGCTTGTGTTGAAAATTGATTAAATTGCTTATTTTACTTGTTGGGAGTATAAGGATGGACAAATGTGATTTAGTTTACTTGTTGGGAGTATAAGGATGGACAAATGTGATTTAGCCTAATGGCATGTGGGAGGTAAAAATTTATCTGAAATGTTATAGTGTGTGAGTTGAAGCCGATTATAAAATATTTTATATTGAAATTATTGATATAAAAATGTGTTGGGTGGCTGTAACCCAACTATGGTTGAGTTAAATTATTTAAAAAAAAAAATTTTGGTGTGTTACAGTTATCAATTTAGTATTTAAAATTTAATCTTTATTGATCAATTTCTTAAAAGTTATATTAGGGATGTTTAACTTGTATTTATCCTGATCGACCTGATTCCGTACCGACTCAAAAATAATTGAGACAAAACTTTACAAGATAGGATGGGACACGTGATTGCTTTCATGATGTCTAGTCTTATCTTATCCCTAATATTATATTATTAAATATTATTGTCACTATTATTAGTGTGCTGAAACAATTAATTAATCAATTAATTTAGACTTCTCCCAACAATAATTTAGGCATCGAGTCTCTAATTATCTTTTCAAAGTCAACTAATCCAACATTATATCACATTAAACCAGCACGGGACCATATTTGTCTATCATGTTTGAAATTTAATGTAATCTAGAAATAAAAATTAAAAAATGTAATGAGAAAATTAATTTCAGCCAATTCAATAATATGTATTTGAATTGTACTCGATGTAATTGAATATCAAATAATTATGAAAAAATATAATTATTAGTTCTTATAATTTTATCAAAATTTTTTCTCAGTTCTCCTAATTTTTTAGTGTATAGAGACTGAAAACATTAAAATTATAGAAAAATGAGTAGTAAATGCCACTCAATTTTGCGAAAACTATAAAAATTGAAAACATTAAAAAAATTATAATGACTGAAAGTAAAGCTCGATAAAATTATATGGATTAATAACTATATTTTCCCAATCGTTATTTAAAAATTCAAGAGCATTTTCAAATAGTAATTATTCATTTATATGCTTCTTTTGTTAAAAAATATAAGGCATTTTTAATTAAATCTCACTTTCCAAAAAAGTAGTTACCAACTTTCAAACTAATTTTATCTTTTTATATTTACTCCTTTTAAACATACTACAATAAATATAAAGTCATTATTAATAGGGACACTTTTAAAAAAGGCAATAATTATATCTTGAAAGATTAAAAATGTCTTATATTTTTAAATATTCAACTCCTTAAAAAATGCCTTATATTCTTGAACGGAAGGAGTATGTGTGTGTCTATATATCAAACTCTAGTGTTTGTTTGAAATCAAAATTTTAATTGAGTGGTATAAAGTAGGGTTAAGGTATAAATTTACCTTCAAAGTTTTCACACAAGCGCACATGATATCTTCAAATTCTTTTCGGCACGATATCACCCTAATATTTTTAAATTGATACTCCTTTCGTTAAAAAATATAAGATATTTTTTAAAAGTTTGATATTCAAAAATATAAAGCATTTGTAGTTTTTTGAGATGTAATCATTACTTTTTTTTTAAAATGCCCTTATTTATAATAAATTTATATTTATTGTAGAATGTTTAATAGAAATAAATATGAAAAGATAAGGTTAATTTAAAAGTAAGTAAATATTTTATTAAAAATAAAATTTAATTAAAAATATTTTATATTTTTTAATGAAAGAGTGTAATTTTGTCCCACAATTAGTGTTGACTATTAACTTATTAATTTTGACCGTTAGATGTCTCCTGCCCGTCATATGTGAATCCATGTCAGATATAACTCATTTTTTTTTTTATATAATTCTTTTCCTTCTTTCTCCCAACTTCAAAGCCGCGAAGATCTTCATCATCTTCCGACCCCATGTCGAGTTGCTTCCTCTACAACAGACCCAGCTCGAACCAAATTATCACCCTCATCATCTTCCGGCCCTCTATCTCTCTCTCCACCTTCATCATCACCCAATTCTCAAGCCTAGGAAATCTTGGACATTCTCTGCAGAAAACCAAAACCCAAATTGCGACTCTACTCAGTTTCTTTTGCTTGAATTATCCAGGTTAGTTGGCTCAAATCACGAGGACGGCACCTCGTATTCTGGGTTTCTGGGTACTTCACGAGGACGATGATGTGAGAAGACGACACCTTCAGATCGTTCCAAGCGCCGCCGCCCCACAACTAAATGAAAGCTTCTCCGATGATACCCATATCAGATCGTTTTCTCGCAACGCGAAATCTGCTAAAGATGATTTTGTTATATCAATAATTTTGATTCGTGGTTTTTAGTGATTTTTCTTTTAGTTGTTGTGTTTATCATTTGGATTTTTGACAGTTACATTCTGAAATCTGCTAAAGATGGCGAAAGCTGGCGCGTTGGATATGGGAGTATATATTCTCCATTATCTTTCTGATTTCAATCTGCAAGTCTCTGATTTGCTTGTTGCAATGACGGTTCTTTGTTTTTCTGCATTGATGTTTTCATTGTATCTTCGTGGGGGAGCTACTTTTCTCTCTAATTCCCAGTGTAGATTATACTTCAATCTCGCCTTATATGGATGGAAATGATAATGCATTCCTCGATTTTGAAGATCTTGGTTTGGGATTGAAGATGCTGAAGGTCTGGGTTCAAAGAAGACATGAAACAGAGTTGGTGAAACCTTGAAGGTGGGACCCACATAAAAATTAGGAAGTTTTCTTAGAGAAAAGATCATATAGGTGCCACATAGGCATACAATGTCAGTGCACAAATGCGTCAGTCAAGTCAACTAACTGTAAACTCAGTCAAACCTTAAGGGGGGCGACATTATACCAAATTAAAAAAAATGTTGGAGTGTCAAAAAAATTTGAGGATATTAAATGCGCGTGAATGAATATTTTGTGGTTAAATTTATACTTTAACTCTATAAAGTATTCTCATGGTTCAATGATTTTTTTTCTTTAAAAAAATATAAAATATTTTTAATTAAATTTTATCATTAATAAAGTAGTTGCCTACTTTCAAATTAATTTTATTTTTTTATATTTATTTTTATTAAACATCCTACAATAAATATAAAGTCATTCATTAATAAGGATATTTTTTTTAAAAAAATAATAATTATACATTAAAAAATTAAAAATACTTTATATTTTTAACATTTAAATTTTTAAATAATATTTTATATTTTTGAATGGAGGAAGTAGTTAAATTTTAATACTTGCAAAAGTTGATTCGTAAGGATTTCATAATTTATAAGGTTAGGGGTTTAAATTTGCTGTTGATAAAAAACTTACTTAGTAAAAGACCTGAAAGGTATCTATTTAAGTATTATTTAAATTTAGAGATCCAACCTAACTCACTCGATTTTTTATTGATTAAAAACGTAGTAGATTTTTAATCTATGGGATAAACAGAACCCGTAAAATCTGGCAACATCACTTTTGAGAAGACAAGTTTATTATTCTTTTTGTCCTTCACTCCGTAACACTTGTTATTGCAGAGTCTGAGTCACAATTCTCCATCCATCCTCTTCCTGTATAACTTCAAAAGATATTACCCTATCATCATCCCGTAATTCCAGAACCCCAAACTCAAACTTAATTTTCTCATGATTAAGCTTTTCTGTTCCAATAAAATCATTTAAATAACCAAACCCGGTAATAGCTCTTGGACTCATATGTATATAGGTCTCTCTAGAATCAAAGTAGAACACAGCTAGTTGAAAACCAGAAAAGTATAACAGCAAAAAGAACCTTTTATTATTTACAAAACTTCGATGTGAATATTCAACAGCACTTCGGATATATGATTTATATGTCTGAGATAGACTAACCACGAGAAGCCAATCTGTGTCCACACATGACATGCATTTTCTTTTTGGAAAAACAAATATATTTACATCATTGAAGAGAAAACAAAACTTGAAAACACATTAAAGCAGAGACATTATTCCTTAGCTAGCAAGAATATGATGCGATGCCATCCCACGCTATGAACAAGTGTCCCCAAAGAAAGTACAGTCAGCCTCCTTTATGAGACTAAAAAGATACAAAACGATTAAGTTATCTCCAAAGGCACAACGCGAGCAACTTATATCCGATTCAGACCACAAGGACTTTATTACTAAGCAAGCCGTTAGAATAATCCAAGGTTCTTAACTTTGCCAGGACGTAGCTAAACCAATAAAGCAAGAAGGGAATTACGAAGTATATATGAACGGAATATCCAAGCATGCCCTGAATCCTGGTATAAAAGAATGGACATGCATGATAATACAATGGTCACAAATTTAAAAAGAAAGTCCATTAAACTTACAAATTATTCAACTTGTGAGGCTTTCTAATATGAGACTCATTATAATAATACCTTATCAAGAGTTGATGTCCTCAGCTCAGCCTCCTGCTAGTCAAGATCCTACATGTATAAATACTAATGTAACGAGTACAAATTTAAAAAAAAATTCATTTTAAAAAATTAATTTATTGAGTAAAAGAGCTCTTTATATTTGTAAATCCTACACCGCTGGTGAAACTCGTGATAAACTAATAACGGATATAAAGTCGGTCTTTGCTTTTTTCCTTATTCATATTAGTTTTTTGGGCTAGGACGTGTAAAAGATGAAGATGTCGTAATGAGGGTAAAGCAAAAATTTATTTTGACTCGAGCCGCTAGGCTTACTTTTTTCCTCAGTAAAGGCCCCATCTTCTCCACTTCCCCTGTTCACTTTTCTGAATTCTGACTGTGTGGTCTGGGTTCCCCTAGCAACTTCACGTTTCTGACTGGCTGCAGATTCTGCTGGTTTAATTTGGTTCCGTGAAACTTTGACTGAAATATATGACAGTTCCAACTTCCAAGGGATTCTTTTAGCTATGCCTTCTTTGTGTGTATTGAAGGAAATGAGAAATGAAGGAGTCACTTTATGAAGTGATATAAACTATGAACGAAATGGATATTAATTGGAACTTGTTCATCAGAAACACTTCACTGTCAAGCTTGCTGGATCAGAAAAAAGCTAGACTTGGCGAGGATAGGGAAGAATGGTGATGATGATAATGATAATTTTGATTAAAAGAAATAAACATAACGGCTCCGAGGCTCTGTGGTTGCCAATTGTTAATTGACAAGTTGCATGCTCACCCACGTTCTTATCAGTTTAAGAGTAGTGTGCTTTTATTATC